AAAAAAAAAAAAAAAAAATTTATACAGCAAATTTAAAAAGAGAAAGCAGAAACAAAGATAGTCAATATATTTTGTTTTATTACTTGCCAGTTTTAGTACATGCAAGTATACCTCCATTTAAAATATAAAGGAAAAGATTTATTAGAGGTATCATTTTTTAAATCTTTGATATTTTCTCATGAGAGACTTATATAAAAAACTTAAAAGTGTCATTGACTGCACAAACATATTTTGAAAAAGAAAAAGAAAAAAACACAAACAAAAAGAAGCAGCAAACCGTCAAGCGATTTCATTAATTGCACTTTGTAGCATAAATCCTTTCTTTTTTCTTCATTGGGAATAGCTTGCCAGGGCCTAATGATTTATTTAAATGGAGGGATTTCTATAGGCCAGAATATTAGGATCCTTTATTAACTTTTACGTTCCATAGATAAACAAGAGACAGCACATCACGTTTCCCGGGAAACACAAAATCTCCCCTAAATCACACGTTCAGTTTAAAAGCTCAGCGCTTCATAGGCATTCTTTATACACAACAAATAAATTGGTTTCTCACCCATATCAATCGCCTACCTTGTTAAAACATTTTGGGGAGAACACACGTAAAGAAGAACTCATTACCAGTAGTAGAGGAGAACTCATCACCCTCTTACCAATTCCCCAGGGTGTCACTCACTTTCATTATATAGAACGCCACCCCAGCCAGCGGGGCAGGAGCACCCACTCTTCCCTTCCTGGCATCTGCCTCCATTCGTGCAGTCCTCGCCGCTCAAACTGCAGTCATATCCGAAGCTGTGATCTAAACAGACTGGAATGTGATACCATCTTGGTTAGCTCACTCTGTCTACATCACTGAAAATGGAGATGAAACCTCTCTCAAAAAAAAAAAAAGATCCTTGAGCATACTTCCGAAAGAGTCCCAGAAAAAGACAATAGCAAAGAGATATCTTTTAAAATAGAGTTCATTTGGGGCTGGCCGGTGGTGCAGCGGTTAAGAGCGCGTGCTCCGCTCCGGAGGCCCAGAGTTCCCAGGCTCAGATCTCGGGGCGCACCAATGCACCACTTGTCAAACTGTGCTGTGGTAGCATCCCATATAAAGTAGAGGAATATGGGCACGGATATTAGCCCAGGGCCAATCTTCGTCAGCAAAAAGAGGAGGATTGGCATCAGATGTTAGCTCAGGGCTGATCTTCCTCACAAAAAAATAGAGCTTATTTTATTTTTTCCAATTATAATATTGAAATATAGTCCCTAAAGAATATTTAGAATATTTAAGAAAATAAAAAAGTGAAAAGAATTACCATTGATTCCAGGGCCGGCCCCATGGCTTAGCGGTTGAGTACGCGCGCTCTGCTGCTGGCAGCCCAGGTTCGATCCCGGGCGCGCACAGACGCACCGCTTCCCCAGCCATGCTGAGGCCGCGTCCCACATACAGCAACTAGAAGGATGTGCAGCTATGACATACAACTATCTACTGGGGCTTTGGGGGAAAAAAAATAAATAAAAAATTAAAAAAAAAAAAAGAATTACCATTGATTCCAAAACACAAAAATAATCAATGTTCCTCCTGCTTTTCCTTCCAGGCTTTTTTATGCAAAATTTGTTTTTTACTATGTAAACTTTTTTATTGACATTTGATATACGTGCAGAGAAGTGTGCAAATCTCAAGGGTACACTTCATACTTTTTTCTACAACGTAAACCATCCCATGTAAATGCCGCTCAGATCAAGAGATAGAATATTGCCAGCACCCCAAAACTCAGAGAGTGACTGGATGATTCTTAATCATTAGCCTCACAAATTAAGCACTATCCTAATTTCTATCATCATAGATTATTTTTCCTAATTTTTGAACTTTATATAAGTGGAATCATAAAGCATGTACTTTTTGGTCATCAAGCTTCTTTCACTCAATATAATGTTTGTGAAATTCACCTGTATCATGTGTACACTAGTTTATTTTTTATGGCTGTATAGTATTCAATTGTATAAATGTACCATAATGTGTTTTTCCATTCAATTCTTGAGGGAAATCATCTTAATCTGAATGAGGATCGAGAGATTTCAGTTGTGTTAAGGCTTGTTTCATTTCAAGTTTTGCCTCTGTTTCTAGATGGGGTCTTGCAGACATCCCAGTGGAAAGCCTGTCATGTTTATCACGTCCTCTTTATTTTGGCAGATCCTGAGCTCCAACTTCTACCTTGCCATCGCCATGATACTGCTGATCACTGTGCTTAGCTCCTTGCGCCCTTAACAGCTGCCTTTCGGTTTCCTGGCTTCTCTGCCTGCACAGCCCATACAGTAGCAAATGCCTCAAGGCGAAAGCAGCAGAGATTCTGTGTCACTTATCTGAGCTTCTCTTCTCTCCAGATATTATCCACTCAAGTTCTGAGTGCCTTGGTAGCCCTGAACTATTTCTATTTTGACTTTGAGTAGCCAAAGTATCAGGAGTTTAATTAAGAAACACTAAGGCATTTCTATTTTTATGCAGACACATTTATTGATATTATTATTATGATTGGCCATAGTATAAAAATATTTCTGCCATTTTACCCAATGCATTCTAAAGCAATCATCAAGCTTTGATATTGTTAAAATACAATGAATAGAGAGAGAACAAAAAAAGAGCAGCTCTGTCTTACAAAGAAGAGAAAAAAATAGCAGCAGACTGGCTGCAAACTGTTACTTTTGAAAGAGGTTATGCTAATTTATTTTGATCAGGAGTGATTTGACGCTTGAGTTCTCTTGCATGGATATATAAGAAAAACTGCTCACATTTTAAAAATATTTTCTTGGTCCACTTGAGCATATCGAACATTGGTTCTCTGAATTTTAAAATCTAGAAAGGGTCTAAATCTTAAGGCTATTTAAGGTAAATTTTAACTATATATAAGTGAGTTCTAGTGGAGTTTTAATAGTTATAAGAACGAAAAGTTCCCATTATGCTAACTTAGAGATATTTTTCAGCTCCATTTCACACATTACACATCAACAGCCCCCCACCACCCTGCACTCCCACTTTGACACATGCCTACATCATAACCCTTTATTGTGCAAAGGGAAGCAAGATTAAAGATGATGGATTTGATAGGAAGCTCTGAAAAAGTGATTTTGGCCCCATTTTTCTTGCTAACGTCATGTTAAAACATTTGATGGCATTCAATATTGATAATAAAATCGTCAATAAAAGAATTTATGTGAATTTTCTAAAAATAAAGAAAAGAGGTGAGTATAATAAGATCAATTCTTTTACCCACCAACTTTGTGCAAAGCAGTGAGTTCTCCTCAAATATCTTTTTCCTCTTCCTCCTCATCTTCGTAGGTGGGAGGCAAAGAAGCAGCAACATGATGAAGCAGTTGAGGTGGGCTCTGGAATAGAAGGCCTAGAGACCTCACAACTTCTGCTTCCTCTTCTTCTTCCTCTAGCTCCTCATCATCTAAAGCTAAGACCACACAGGAAAATGTCTGGATTCAACATGCTGGTTAAAAGAAGGAAAAACTGAGCAAGGGTTGATGACAGAAATGAGAGAGTTTGAACTAGAGAGCCAAGGCAGGGGGCGAATGAAAGGTAAAACGCTTTGAGGAGACCATTTCAAAAAGTCGATTGTAAATGAAGGTGGGAAGCAGCAAGCACAAAGTTGAAACTGCAGCAGAGAGAACAAAAGGAAAAGAAAGATCTGTCTGTGAAGAGAGAAAAGGGAAGACAGGTTGAGTCAAGGACTACGTGGTCTCTGCTGTTCCTGAAGAGCAAGATGAGAGTGGAAGCAGTTTAGAAAAGATACAATCAATTCTTCACAGGGACTTACAGATGCAGGACTTGCCATCACTTCCAATTCTGTAGCCTTCTTCACAGGTAGAGTCATATGTTCCCACAGAGTTAATACACAGTTGGTCACAGACTGTACTGACATCCAGACACTCATCCACATCTAGGAAAATTTAAACAATGTCTGCTTTTAGGCACTGAGAGATAAAATAGACATTATGAACTCATGGGCATATTTGTGTTCCTCCTATCACCTTTATTAGACAATAACAACGTGTTGCCATATAGAAAGTATAGCCCCAAAATTCTTTCTCAAGTATATCCTGTCAATTATTTTTTTTTCACTCATTTCCAAGTTTACTATAGTTCATCTACATAGACAAGGTCTTTCTAAGACCTCGTTCATGAGGTTTTGATGAAGAATTTAAAACTTAAATTCAGTAGTCTCAGGCTGTGCACTTTTGCAGAATGTTCATTCATTCAATTATTCAATATCTATGATGAAGCATTTATTCCATGCATAATCCTGTACTAGGTTTGTGGAGAATTTTAAAGATGGAAGAACCCTAGGCCTTGATCTCATGTGACTTACTGGTATATGTCCACGTCTGGGCCCAGACTTTGCACAATGTGTTCACGATACTAAAAGTTCATTTTTGAAGCTGAACTTCTAAGCTTTGCCTCAAATTGTGGATACCTTTTCCATTTGGATGTGTGTCCCCAAGTATGTACATTCACGCCATACAATTATCTTTTGGCTTACTCTGCTTAAGAGCAGATGGTACATGAAATTCAAAATTTTTTTGGCCCTGTTAATTAGATGGAATGTGGTAAATGGCAATATACTCTGCTGTGTTTGGAATATATAGATATCACAATTGTGTGTTCTTTGCTGTTATCTACACTGCAAGGCTGGGGAACTTGGCATCTATATGAAGAAACACACTTATCATCCTCAACAACTCAGACTTTGTTTCTTTAAGCAAAAAACCACTATTTTCTCGGAGGCATCAGTCTTCTTATATAATCTGACTGTTATTGAAATAGATATCAGTTTTATTTTTGCTTTGATTCCAAGAAAAATATGGTTAAAAATAATGGTAATAATGATCACAAAATTAAAATTTAAAGATTACATACTTACGGTAAACTTTTAAAAGTAAATCATAGCAATGACTTGAATGAGCTGTTCTTAACGGTAAAAAAAAGTGAACTCTACTCACTAAATTCAAACTCTCCTATGACGTTTAAAAAAATACACAAGCTAGAAATCATCTGAAAGGTAAGCAAGCCAATTTTAACAAATAAGTTAAAAAATTGTAAAATGACACCTTAAAACTTGCATTAGCTAGATTAATATTGGATATATAAATGATTCTGATACAGATTTAGACTGTGGCTCATGAACTGGCAATCCTTTTGCCACTGCTCTCTAATTAAAATGAATTTCAGTAATCATTTTTTTACTTTCTTATTCTAGTCAAGCTTGCCACAAGTGATTCCTACAGCAGTATGCTATGGCCTGTCAGTATCCCAAACTTGCCTGCATATTAAATTAGGTAAAAGGGATTATGGGCCAATGAATATTATAATAATAATAGCTACTTTTGCTTGAGTGATTTCTCTATGTCAATCACTATACTAGGCACTTTACATTTATTACTTTCCTTAATTTATCCACTAATCCTATTATTGTCTTCACTTTTCTGATGAGGATTTAAGGCTCAGAGCAGTTAGAGTGGCCCAAGTTCATACAATAGTAAATGGTAGAACCACATAGAAATCCAAGAGTCTTGAGTGTCAAAGCCTTCCTTTTCGTACCTAACCCTCTGCCTCAGATGTTCCTCCTCCAGTGATGGCCCCAACACATCGGTGATTTGACGTTAGATCTCGGGAAGTTACCATCACAGCCACAACCAACAGAAGTGATCTGAAAGCCCTCCTGACAAGCGCATTCATAGCCTCCTGAATAGTTGATGCAGAGCTGGGCACAGCAGGCTTCTCCACTCTCACATGCATCAAGGTCTGAAGGGGAAAAGGACGTTTCTGTTGTTTAAGAGATAGGAATTTAACCAACCTACAGAAGTGCTGATAAGTCTTATTTCTAAATTAAAACTGTTTTATTAATCATTTTCTATTTCCCAGGCTACATCGTACAGACAGCGAAGAAACTATAACACAAAAAGAATGAGGCCCACATTTGGTTTTGTGTTTCTTGTATGCTTCTTTTATGCTTGTTATTTATTTTTAAAGTATGTAAATAATCTCCAAATGCATTTTTAAACATAGGAAAAGAGATCTCTGCTATTTTTCCAGTTTAAACAGCAATCTCACTGAACAAACAGAGAACTTGAAGAACAAAAAAAAAACAGCTTGAGAAGAAGAGCCAAAGAATTCCATTTAGTGAACATTTGCTAGCTGCAAAGATGAGGCAGTCTTAGACTCCATAATGTGTTTGTTCTTCTAGAACATGGATGAAAGATTGTTCCCAATCAAAAGGAAATCACACGTCTGGGAAGAGAAGCAGTAACTGCAATTCAGAGAGAGGGAAGACAGTCATTTTAAATATTATATTTTAAATTACAGAATATTTCAGAGAATTTGCTTGAGCTTTTCAATGACGCTTTGACTGGGATGAGCAGTGTCTGGGAGTTGTTATTACAGTTGGTGACACCATTACCCTGGCATGTCTTGTCAGATGAGCAGCTTTCTAAATGATGATCTTTAAGTTTCCTTCAGCACTATTATTCTAGAATTCTACAAACCTGAATGTTTCTTCCTAAGACATAATTGCCCTGGGGAAAATAACAATGCACCAGAAGACGTCAAATTGAAACCCTTCAGCCAAAGAATAGCCTATTTGGCCTGAGTTTTGAGGTGATGGCTTCTAACATAATTGGCTAAGAAGTAGCAACAGACTTTTCACCCACTATTTCCTTAGGCTAGACACCTGGGAATTGTGTGGGCAGAGTTTTCGGGGATAGGTCCTTGGTTCCATTCAACCCCTCCTGTTTGTTGAGCTGTTAGGTTGGGTGGACTGTCAAGGCTGAGTTTACAAAATTCCATTCTTCCACACCTACATGAGCAGCCACAGATGTAAAAGGTCACTGTCTCAATTAACCTTGGAAAGGGTACAAATGTAAGGAAACGCAGACAAGAGAAAGAAGGAAAGAAAATGCAATCAATCACCCAAGGTGCAGGGTCACCAGAAAATATCTAAATGAAGGTCATTTGGACACAAAACATTCATTCTCCTGCAAAATGTCACAAGCAGTGCCACTCGCAAAATTTTAGATTATATTTTTCCTTTCTTATATTAGCCTTTCTTTGTCCTTTGGATTAAATAGCATGAGTATAGAAGACAAAAAAAAAACAACTTCAAAAATTCAGTTCCATTTCATCTAAAACATTATCCTTTATGTTTTTTTAAATTTTATTTCAAGATTTTTTAAAGTCTTCTCAGATACCACCAGCGCCTCCAAACATCCATGTCTCAGGATTCCCTGTTCTCAACTAGCAAGGAGCACAATTGCATCACACAATTGGAAAATGAGTTCCTCAGTCTATCATTTTATGATCCATTTTGGATTCTTCTGCTATTACATTCCTCTGGGACTATTTCTAGCTTATCTCATGTGTACCATGCTCAGCCTGGAACTCATCTGAAACCCATCCTTCCTATATCATAGGCCTTTCTTAAAATGCTCTGTCCCTTCAACCCTTACATCATCTGTTTCCTAAATTTCTTGATTTCTTTTTGGATCTTAGTTGGTGATATCTTTGCTTGCATATTTTTCCCTTTTAATTTTCCTCCTCTCTGATGATCAGATTTTTCCCACATTGGTGAATATGCCAAATATTGCAACATTGCAGAGAAATTCACCTATACATAAAAATTTAGCCTTAATCAAAAATAGAGCATCATTCACAGCCAGACCATATAATTACCCATTTCAGCCTGACTTCAGAAAAGCATTAAAAGTAAATCTTGAAAAAACTTGATCTTCTGTATATGTCCTCCATTCATAATCACTCAATAAAGCTCCAAAGGTTAGTAATAAAAATATTTTCTAATAACTACCAATTGTTAAATTTAGTGAACTTATTACTGGTCAGACACTTGTGTTTTATATAGTTGTCTTTCAAATTGTGTTAACACATCTTTAGGTTTTAGCCCTAGTAAATTTTTGCATTTGGGCAAGACTGATTGAACATTTGCAGACTGGATGACTTATTTTCACATTTATTTGTATGTTCTCATATAAAAAATAAATTTGAGGGGCCAGCCCCGTGGCGCAAGCGGTTAAGTGCGCACGCTCTGCTGCAGCAGCCCTGGGTTCACCGGTTCGGACCCGAGGCGCGCACCGATGCACCGCTTGGCAAGCCATGCTGTGGCGGCATCTCATATAAAGTGGAGGAAGATGGGCACGGATGTTAGTCCAGGGCCAGTCTTCCTCAGCAAAAAAAAGAGGAGGATTGGCAGATGTTAGCGCAGGGCTGATCTTCCTCACAAAATAAATAAATACATAAATAAATTTGATCCTAAAATAAGCTAAAAAGAAAATTCCTTAATTTCCTTCATGCACGAATGTTTTTACAAAGCATCCACAGCCTTACTCTGTTCTCAGGCAAATAAGCAAAGTATATATATATACACTCCAAACAAATCATTGCCTTTACTCTAGTGAATATTTGGTCTTTAGGAATGAATGCTATTTATTGTTGGAAAATGAAATAAACTTGAGCCATATACAATATAACGTTGTCATGTTGACTGCTGAAATCTCATAAATATTCCATTTTCTATATTTTGACCCTGGCAGATGCTATCTTTTTCCAGTTATAAATAAGAACTTTACTGAATTGTACTTTCCAAAGAATAAGGAAAGACACCAAATTCTAAGCTACAAACAAAAGGTTTAGTAAAATTCCAGTTTCCCTTATCTAATAGTCAAAAGAGGACGATAGACAGGTAGGAAGTGAGGGAGGGAGGGAGAGAGGGAGGAAAGGAAAAAAGGAGGGAGGAAAGAAGGAAGGAAGCCCTTTATTTTTCCCAGAGGTACAAATGTTAGCAAGGTAGAAAAATATTTAAGCTTATTTTTCATTACATAACAAGAAGCAAGGAAAGCAATTGGATTCATTAAGTTAACCACTGTGGACTCTGAGAAAAATGCAGAAGGCAATACTGGATCAAGAAATACAAGTAATGACATTGTTTTGGTTAAATAATTTATAAACCCAGAATACTTCAAAATCTCTTGAAGTTCACTCTATCACATAATTGTGCCAAAATAAAAAATCCCAAATACTTAGACCTTTGAAATCCACTTCTTTTATGATACTCCAATTTGTCTCGAACCATATTGAATAGCATGAAATGGTCAGAGATTTTTTTTTAATATTTATAATTTTTAAGAAAGGTGATATAAAGTATCACAAAAGAAAACAAGTTGTCATAATTCTCGAATGATGGCAAATTGCTTTAGAAGCTTATAGGTGCTCTCAGAGCCAGAGCACATAGTAATATAATTTGATGATCACTATCCCTATTTTCAGTAGATATCTCTTTTTTTCAGAAGCTCTAGATTAAACATTTTATTATGAAGCAAGGATGAGGTGGAATTTATTCTTCTCAAAGTCCCAAATGATATAAATTCTAACATGTTAGAAAAGTTATCCATTAAAAACTTTGAGCTGGGATTTCCAAAGAATGATACATTTTATAGAATTCTTTTGGAATTGCCATACCAAAGATGAATATGCAACCAAATCATCACGAAGTTGAAAACCAATGCACATGATTTAGTTTCTGCTTGAGGTAGAGAGAAGTAGAGTGGTTGGTAGCATTTGTTGTTTGAATTACAAATTACGTTAAATGGTTAGATAAGCCTTGGAATCTTTTCCTGAAATAAAACTATGAAGTCCATATATTTTGTTAAAATGTTTTAAATCTCCTTTAACTTCAAAGTAAATATCTAAACATAATGATGTCTTCTGCCAAGTAATCTTTCTTATATGTATCCAGTAGCAAGAGACACTGTTCACTTTACTTCTTGCATTCTGAGAGATGTGGCCCACATTACAGCAATAAGTGTTAGAGAGGAAAGGGCTATATGAATCCAGGGCAACTTCTGAAGCAAGATGGCATTCAGCATACATTACCTATGCATGTTTTCTCATCTGAATCAAGCTGGTATCCATGGTTACAGGAACAACAGGGCCCACCAAGTACATGTTCACAGTGATGGGAACAACCACCATTGTTCCTTTCACAGCTATTGACAATTTCCAATTCAATCCCTTTCCAAAACAAGCAAAAGAGGGTTATTAGCATAACAACAGAGAAACCTGAACATATGTCAACAATGGGTACACTCTGTTGGGAGGATGACTAACTTTATTGGAAATTTATCAACACTCTACATGTACAAAAGTAAAAGTCTAAGGGCTATTAAGTATTGTAAATGTCTATACTATATCAGAATACTGATAAACCTAGAAATAATGTTAAATTGATGAAGTGATGCAGAAAGGTAATGAGTCTACCAGTGGCCATTAAACACTTTTCTTAAAGGACATTTACTTCTGGAAATTCTCAGTATTTTCAGCATATAAAAAATATGTGTATTGAATCAATGATCAGAAAGCAAATAGGTTGTTTGCCAGTTGACATTTCCATTCTCAAGCTAATGATATGTTATTATTTGTCCTTTTTAGAGGCTCTGAGTACATGAAAATATGTTAAAAATAGCCTTGGAACCAAAGTATGAACATGAAGCCAATGAATTAGCTGATCATACGTAACTAGTATCATGTTGGTGTGCTAATCAGCTTTGATGTATGTGAGAGTCACTTATTATATAAACATACTATTACTTTGAAAACCAATTTGCCGATCCATGCTACTAATTTGGGGCATTTTGGGGGACATCAGCCTCAGCATATGGATGCCAATTATCCTGAGCACACAGGCATTATAGTCAATCATTTTCTAAGTAGGAAATGAGAAATAAAAGAATGCTTTGAATCAGTGTTAAAAACATGGAATTCTGATACTGTGCTATTTTCACCATTGGCTTCCGTTGTTCTTCATTTGTGTTGCTTGGACAAATCTCTTCCTAATGAGTGTCTACATTGGTTCATTTCCTTCCATTCTTAACTCCTGAATCCTTTGGAAGAAGAAAGATGGGAAAGAACAGGACAAGGGATTGTGGTATGCCATGAAAACCTATATCACCATTCAAACTGCCTAGGTGTCTCCTACAGTTCCTACAGGTTACAGTACAGAAACCACCCTTCCTGATCCGAGCCTCTAGTCTACAGTAGGCAGCAGCGCTATGTGCTCCAGAGCACCCAGTGCACATCCCCGTCTTTGTGTTCATCCCTCTGTGCCATCATCATCCTGTATTACCCAGCTCATAACAGGTGTTCAAAAATAGGTTTTGAATGACTGAATAAACAAAAGAAGGATTATGCTAATCAATTTATTGTTAAAAATAAGAACCCCTTTGGGTTTAGAAACATCTAGTTTAGGACTGAACAAAATTAAAAAGCTAAAGGAAATAGTGAAATAATGAAAGGAACTCATATTTTTCACAATATGTTAAAAAATACTCTTTAGGGAGACATATTTCAAATTTTGGCTCCTATTCTTGTTATTTTTCTGTGATCAATGCAGCTCTAAGACTGCTGGTGGTAATTTACTTTTAAAACAAAGGACATTATTGTAACCTCATTAAAAAACATATGGGACTAAAACAAATGCATACTCAGATCTGTAACTGTCCACTAGGAGTAAGCTGAGATTTTGCATACTTGATACAGATGATAATGTTTAACCATCGTACTTAAAAAAATATTATACTTTAAAAAAACTTTAAAAAACAATCCTGTAGTTTCCCATTGGTAGCAAATAATCATTATTTACTTGATATACTAAATATGTGTGGAATTTAAGTTCAACTATATACTGCTTGGTAAGTTGGGGGGAATCTTATTTAACAATGCTAGACCTGGAATTTTTCCAATTTCCAATCAGAAGATAGTGATACTTCATTCATAGCACACTGTGAGGATTCGATGTTTATGCTATACAACGTTTTGAGAGCCTCTGAGAAGAAATTAAATAAATATAAAACAGTATTTTTCTAGGAAAAAGTTAAAACAATATTTTCCTAAAATATACTTGTTAAATGAAGGACACATAATTCATTGTTAAACATTACCATGCTCTGAAAGCATTTACTCCACCTACAGGTTTTGAAACAACTCAAAATACCAGCTTTCACCAAGTTTTGTATGTCAGTTAGTAAATATTGAGGTCTTGTGAAAGCTGCACAAAGAACTTAGCCAAATATTCACATAAGGGAAATAAATGTGAAAACACACTTCCACCAAATGTATTCAACTCTAGGGCAAATTGCTTTCCCAAGTAAATTCTACAGAAAGCCTGTACTTCATAACTCATTAGCAATAATGGCCCCCTCTTTCATAACTGAGAATGCACCAGTCAGATTACAAGAGATTTTATTTCAGACATTTGTAAAATGTACTCATCTCCTAAACCTCTGGCCATGTTAAAAAGCCAAAATATTAATAAGAAAGAAAAACTCATCCACATTTCTCTCTGCCCGAAAGTATTCCTCAGGGCATTGAGAGACTCACTTCAGAAGAACTTGTATCCTAATTAGTAGTTAATTCTTCTCTCTCATCTTATTTAGTTTGCTCTTTAAAAGACAAATATCACAGTAGCAATACCACACTGTCTTTAAGCAGTAGAAATATACCAACAGACCTTAAGGCTACACTGGCAACCCAAGCATTAAAGAAATGTAAATTGCTATGCAGTGGAGGAAAATGAAGAATTTAGTGACCCTAAGAATGTCTCTTCATGAGACAGCTTAGGTAAGAACACAAAATTATTTATTTTATGTACCACTATCTTTATTCTCCTTCCTTGATTAAAACTGATAAAGAGACATAACAATGCATACAAATACATGATGAAGTTGAAAGGATAGTACATTCGGAGTCTAAAGACCCTAGTTCAAATCCCAGTTCTGTCACTTACTAATTTTGTATTATTGGATTTTTGGCTTCCACACAGAAGGGATGGTTTACTAAGATATGGAGAAGTGGGAAGAGCATCTTTGGAACTGAGACTGCAAATCAGTAGTTCTGCTTTGGGCCTGTCAAGTTTTTAACGCCCATTGGTCCAGCAAGTGGACATGTTGAGTACATAGTTTGATATATTCACACATAGTTAAAGGAAGAACAGAAGTGGATTTCTGTTCTGTCAGATTTCAATCTGACATTGACAGAGGGGCCAGAGATGGAGAAAAAAACAGGAAAGTGTGAAAACATGGAAGAGAAGAAAATGTTTCAAGAAGGAGACAGGGATTAGTCAACTGTGTTGAAAGCTGCTTAGAGGTCAAGTAGGATAAAACCAGAGAAGTTAACATGCAGTCAGGCAACATGGAGGTCATGGGTGACCATGGAGGGGTAGAGATGGAAATCTGATTACTCTGGGATGATGAGACAATGCAAGAGGAGGAGGAGAAGACATTAACTAAGTTATAAAAATTTGCTGTGAAGGGGATCAGATTGAAGCTCTAGTGGGATGTGAGCTCATGGGAGGGTACTTCAAAGATAGGAAACTCTGGGGCCAGCCCCGTGGCTTAGTGGTTAAGTGCGCACGCTCTGCTACTGGCAGCCCAGGTTCGGAACCCCAGGAGCGCACTGACGCACGCCATGCTGAGGGGGCATCCCACATACAGCAACCAGAAGGATGTGCAACTATGACATACAACTATCTACTGGGGCTTTGGGGAGAAAAAGGGAAAAAAAAGGAGGAGGATTGGCAATAGATGTTAGCTCAGGGCTGGTCTTCCTCAGCAAAAAGAGGAGGATTGGCATGGATGTTAGCTCAGGGTTGATCTTCCTCACACACACACACACACACACACACACACACACACAAGATATTACTAAAAAAAAAAAAAAAAGATAGGAGACTCTGGACCATATTGAAAAGCTGATGAAAATAATCCATTAGATAATTATAATAGCAAAGATCTTGAGATAATGGGAGGGAATGGAATCCAAAGTACAATGGAAAAGACAGCCTTTGATAGCAGTAAGACCACTTCCTTCATATTAATAGGGGTGAAGCCTTTTCTATATGATTCCATGAGAGATTTCAGGTCAATTGCTAGCTTGAATGGTAGTTTGCATCCATTTTATTGAGGATGTAAGGGACAAGGTAAGGATAAAGGCAAAAAGGGGGGTGATATAAAAATTTGCAAGACAAAGAGAAGGTGTTAAACATTCATTTTAATGACGATGAAAGTGGACACATTCTGAGAGTATAGATTTGTCCAGCCATGCTGTTTAATCATTTGAGATTTATGGTCCTTAATTTTAAATAAAACCAGTTAACACAGTTGTGTTTTGAACATAACAAAATTCACCTGCTAAGGTATAGATATGAAGTGGAGAAAGAAGGGAAGTCACTAAGAGAAAGGAAGGGTCTGAAGATGAAGAAGAAAAATAATTGTTGAAGTACTATGATCTTATAAAAGGCAGAAATGGAGGAATTGGCTTAAGAAATAAGAAAAAAATTATTCTGTCATTCAAAAAAGAAGGAAGAGGATGGGTAAGGATGGAAAATATTGAGGTAGAGAACATGGAACCTGAGGCACTTTGTATCAGAAGGTTTTAAGCTCAGTAAAGTAGGAAGTGTGTTCATCTACAGATTAAGCAGTGGACCAGAAGGAAGACATGAGAGAAGGAAATAGCTGCAATTGCTATTAATAGCAACTAATAATTCAGCATATTAACATTTTAATATATTCATAATAAGGGATATATTAAACTGTATAACTGAACCTAGGTGAGGAAGAAGCTAAGGTTAGATGACATAGGGCATAATTTTTTGAAGAAAAGGAGTAGAGGAATGAGTCAGTGAAAGAGAGAATGCAAAGTCAGAAGGAGCTGCTTAAAGAGGGATGATGGAAACGAATGGAAAATGGGGGAGGGAGGAGAAGGGCTGACACGGAAGATACTCTTTAGAGCATCCAATGTGTCAGAAAAATGTGTACCACAACCTAGAGCTGCTTCTTGTACTGCTGGTTCCTTCACCTCTGCTAGTTCCTTTTCCTTGAATTTTACATTGGAGTTACTGGTCTTCAATAACTATTGCATGGCAGAGGTGATGAAGGAAGACAGACTCTACGCAAAGGAGAGCCATGGGGCCAAGAGAGCCACAAGTCAGAAGTTTTCAGATTTAATCCTTGCCATCTGCACTGTGGATCATTATGCCAACCATTTTCTGTTAACTCCGGACCCCTGTTTCTTCAAATTAAAATGAGGGGGTTGGACTTCTAAGCTCCCACCCCCACTCTGCCCCAGTGGAAAACATTCTCAGGAGCTTCTGCTTTGGCAAGATATTCAGTGCTGTTCTTCTGTTCATTACTCTTGTAAAATGCCACACGTTTCCTGGGCTGTGATTGTTGCCACTTACTGTAACACTGTTTTCCATCAGCTCCCAGTTCAAAGCGAGGGTGGCAAGCACAAGTAAAAGATCCCACCGTGTTCACACAGCGATGGCCACAGTGAGCAAGCCCTTCAGCACACTCGTTTATGTCTGCAGAAAGAGATACACAGCAGCTATGTCTTTGGAGCTTGAATTAAGATTTACCTGAAAACTGTAACAATGAACTAAAGCATCCCCTCACCCCACAAACCCCAACATCAAGTGTAACAGTAAAATAATACATAGGCTCCATATTTGCAAATAAACCAACTGCTAATGACATTAACTCCAGTCTTGGTCTTATGCTCTCAAACACTTCTATCTATTAGAACCTACTAGTATCTATTAATTGGTAGAGAGAGAAAACAAAAAATAGACCTTATCTGTCCCCTAATAATACAAGTAAAAGTCATTGTTATTTGTCTGTAGGAATATATATCACATTCTTAAAAAATGGTATCTTCCTGATTTAAGGAGACAGAATGTATGGCCATAGACAGGGCAGATTTGGGGCCTTCCTACGAAGAAATCCACAGCACGTGTGGTATATATGATTGACACAGGGCAGTGCTACATAAACACTGATGCCCTCTCTCTCTCCTGACACAGATAGCCAAGGCTATTCAGTGTAACTTAATTCTGTGGCCCAAGTAGTCCCTGTTCCTTCCTTTAAATGGATAGATGTCACCATCATTTTCCCTACTAGAACTTCCTCCTTATATTGTCCTGCATGTCATCCCCACCAGGGAGCTTAAGAGAAATACTCATTCTTCTAAGGTATTTGTAAAACCCTAAGGAGGCAGTAATATTGGGGATAGACTTTCTAGAAATAATGCATCAGATATTAAAATAAAACTTTGAAAGATTAGACAAAGATAGATATAGATACATGTATATATCTGTCAATTTTCCACAAATATTTAAAAAGACCTTATTCTGTGCCAGGTTCTGGGCTAGGCAGGAGCTGTGTAAACAGAGTGACCAAAGCAGAAATGTTCTCTGTCAGAAAAGTATGCTAACAAAAGCCACAGAAAATTTTATCTTAGTTTGACTTAAAGAAAAAAAAACTAACAACACTAATTTTTATATCTAATTCTTTTTCAATTTCTCAAAGTGTTTATCAGTCCCCTAAGTCAGGAAACATTTTGGTATTTTCATAATTAATCCAAATAAACTGTTTCTCATTTCATGAAAATGTCATGATAAAAATGAAGGATTTTGTGATTTCTCAGAAGTTATTAAAATAAAGACTGCCCCACAGGAATGACTTCATTTATCAGTTCTGGTCATGCAGTAATTTATCACTTTCATTTTTGAATTGAAGTGTGTCTCTTTTGCTATTCCTAGGAAACAGAAATATGTAACCTTGTATTTACAGAGTTTCTTTCTTTTTGGTTTTAATTATTCCTAACTTCTGAGAACACTCATTTGCACATACTTGCTTTTCAAAGGTTTTCCCCACCTTCTGCAGCCTACAATAAAAAACTCCCTGTGCTGTCATGGAAGGTTTTGAAATATTAATTCTGGAATTCACCTCAGAATGAGAAACAGAAAACAAAAAGGCTGGATTCTGAAACTACACCAGACCATATTTTGTGTAACTAAAAATTTCACTGAGTTTTTATAGTATCACAAAAATACGTTTCAGAATGATCAAATAAGAATATAAATGTTCCTTTTTAAGCATAAATGAAAACACCTTTCTCTTAGCTGTTCTGACTATTCAAAATGGAATTACCACAAAATTTCAATTACACAATTAAGCCATCAGCTTCAACTTCCTACCTCTACAGGCCTTTTTGTCTCCAGACAGCAGGTAGCCTGGGTGACAGGCACACCTGGCCACTCCATTCTCACTCTGACAGATGTGGGCACATCCATTCCCACCTGGGCAGGGCTCCATCTCTGAAAGCAATTAAGCAGTGCTAGTTTGCAATTCATTAACTTTAGAAACATACAGAGCGGAAGGGAGGAGAAAGACAAAGAGGGAACTGGGGCCACTGGGTTTTTCACATAGATCTTAAGGAGTCCTGACAGTCCTTTCCCACTTTCAGGTGGAAGCTATTCAACAAAAGGTTTCCCATTTTGTGATCTGAACTCCAAAATCTGAACAAATCTCAACATGGATCAAGGTCAAAGAAGAATCATTTTAATTTCCCTCTTTCCAAAAGTGTATCTGCTGTCCCAAGTTAAATAGAGTCAGCAGGAACTCCTCCATACACCTTTGTATTTTTTTCTTATTCTCTCTCCACCTTTTCTTCTCCTTTCAGCATCAGAATCATCCTTAGATAAACCCTTTTACCTCCTCTAGATCTCCTCTGCTTTTAGATAAGCAACCACTTTGTGAGAAGAAGGCCGACTGAAGCTACCTGCGGTGGAGATGGAATAAAGAAGCTCAGATCCCACTGGAATTAGTCAGCTGGCCTCCTTCTCCCCATCACTTGCTGCTGTCTAAATCAGTCTCAGTCATATTCTCTGCAAGTCCAAAGTAATGTGAAGCCACACATCCTATCAGGAGTACCCACCTCCACACAGAGCTCACTTGCTGAATTTAAGAGGTAAGTGATTCCAGACTGACTGTGAATCCAGCCTTGTCTATGTTACAGGCTGCTGGGGTGGCACTGCAGAATTTCTACTCCTGCCCCTCCCACCCCACCTTTTAAAAAAATAATGCACAGAATATAAAAAGCAAAATAATATATAAAGCTACTGTCCCTACATTCACCCAGTTTTACCCAACCACTACCATACATGAATGCTTTTGCTTTAATTAGTTTCTTATAAATCCTTCCAGAATTATTCATGAAAATATAAGTAATACAAATATCTATCTATCTAGCCATCACAGATACAATATACACAGTTCTGCTCTTTGCTTTTCTGGTAGGGAGAGACCGAGTTAAATTTGTACATCAATTTGGAGGAATATTGCCATTTGAACAGTATTAAGTTGTCTGATCCATGAACATGAGATGTCTTTCCATGTATTTTAGGTCTTTAATTTATTTCAATAATATTTTATAGTTTTCAGTACATCATTTTTGCACTTCTTTTGTTAAATTTGTTCCTATGGATTTTATCCTTTTTGATGCTATTGTAAATAGGATTGTTTCTTAATTTTACTTTCAGATTGTTCATTGCTAGTGTATAGAAATCCAACTGACTGTTATGTGTTGATCTTATATCCTGCAACTTTGTTGAATTTCTTTATTAGTTCTAATAGTTTGTTTAAGTAGATTTCTTAAGAGTTTCTATACGCAAGATCCTGTCATCAGCAAATAGAGATATTTTACTTCATCCTTTCTAATCTCGATGCCTTTTACTTTATTTTCTTGCCTTTTTGCCCTGGCTAGAAATTCCAGTACCATGTTGAATAGAAGGGGCATGAACAGACATCCTTGTCTTCTTCTTGATCTTAGGGGGAAAGCTTTCAGTATTTCACTATTAAGCATAACATGTTAGCTGTATGTTGTCATAGGTTTCATTTTATCAGGAAGTTTTCTTCTATTTCTAGTTTTCTGAGTTCTTTTATCATGAAAGGGTGTTGAATTTTGTCAAGTTTTTTTTTTCTGCATCTATTGCGATGATCATGTGAGTTTTGTCCTTTATCTTATTGATAATGGTGTATTACATTAATTCATTTTCAGGTGTTGAACCAACCTTGTTTTCCTGAGATAAGTCCTACTTGATCATAACATATAATCCTTTTTATATGTTGTTGAATTTGATTTCTTAGTATTTTGTTGAGGATTTTTACATATATATTCACAACAGATATGGGTTTGTAGCTTTATTTCTTGAGAAATTCTTGTCTGGTTTTGGTATCAGGGTAATACTGGCCTCATGCAATAAGTTGGGAAATGTTCTCTCCTCTTCTATATTTTGGAAGAATTTGTATTAATTCTTCTTTAAATGTCTGGCATAATTCACCATTGAAACCATCTGGGTCTGAGTTTTTCTTTACAGGAAGTTTTAAAATTACTAATTCTATCTCTTTACTTATTATATGTTTAACCAGATTTTCTTTTTTCCTCAGAAGTCAGTTTCAGTAGTTATTGTCATTCTAGGAATTTGTTCATTTCACATAAGTTATCTAATTTGTTGTGATATAGTTGTTCATAGTATTATCTTATTCTCTTTCCTATTTCCTTAGGGTCAGTAGTGATGTCCCCTCTTTCATTTGTGACTTTAGTAATTTGAGTCATCTCTCTTTTTTCCTTTGTCAGTTTAGCTGAAGGTTTGTCAATTTTATTGATTTTTTTCAAAGAACCAACTTTTGGTTTTATTAATTTTCTCTCTTGTTTTTCTATTCTCTATTTTATTAATTTCTATACTCATCTTTATTATTGCCTTCCTTCTTTTCTTGCCTTTCCCTGTCTTTTTTCTCCTTGTGTTCCTTCTCAGTATCAGCTCTCTGAGAGACTTACATTCAAGCCTGCAGATTCAACCTGCCCCCTGATTTCACAAAAAATAAAATTTTCTGGACCTTTTTGGTTTTCTTTATTTTTTTCATTCTGTCTGTATGTTTTGTCACAGGTTAAGAGAAAGATGTTGACCTACATGGCCATGTTTATACCAGAAACTCAATTTCTTTAATCCATATCCTCTACCACCAGCTCTCATGACAACGGGATAGGTAACTTCCTCTCTTAACTCTGAAAAGCGAGGGGTCAATTTCAACAGATGTAAGATAATAAAGTATAATATAATTATCTTTGATATGTTCTTCTCATTCATCACTGTCTCTGGGAACCTCTTCTCTAAATTTACTTTAATCTCCTATTGCCCTAATGCCTTCTTGATACTCAAGGTTTCCAACTATGAAGGGTTAACCCTCCAGAAAATGGCCAGGTATAACCCGCCTTCAGCAAGTCCTAGTACCATTAAAATTCCCTTCTGTTTTTGAGACTGATTTTAACTGTGAACTTAACCCATATGAATCGGCCACGGAAGAACTGTAAAATAAAACTCCTCCAATGTAGCATTGGTTGTAAACTTGCAGCTTTTATTTTCAGCTGCAGAACATAGAAGGACATTTGAAAGTAGCATGTAGAACACATGTAATATTTTCAGCCAAGATTCTAATGCTTCTTTTGTGTTGAGATAAAGGGCAGTACCCTTTACACAGCAGCACTTAAATGAGGCCTGTTCAAACTTGGCTCATGACTCAGAAAGAGTAACCATGACTGGGTTTACTTTCTGCCATAAACAACTAAAAGACTAGATAGAAATACATGAAACAACTGTTTGCAGATATTGAACAACAGGCAGCACAAGAGGTGGAACCCTGAGAGAAGAGAAACAAAGCTAAATTATTGCTCTGGGTTTTGCTAGAGGCAATTTCTGGATTACAGCACAAGAAAGAGAAACCAAATGAGAGCTCAATGATCTTGCTAAGTTGAAGAGACAAGTCAGAGTTCATAATTGTTGAGGAAACTAGAATTTTTGGAGTGCTAGAAAGGGGGGGGGGGAGGGAGTGTTAAACAGAGGAAAAACCTCCAGAAATCGATTTAATGATCCTCTTGAATCTTTGACTAAATGTTATTCCATATATACATCGGGTAAATCTCCATGAGGCCAGGCGATGAACAATACACTGGAAAGCGGAATTAGGGCAGCTGTAAGTCATACAATTCCAGGAGCACACAGAGGGCCAGGAGTCAGTTCTTAGCAACCAGAGTGGAGAAATGTCATTGAATACATGCGCACTCAGTAGAGGTCCCAGAAGGGCCAAGGCTCAGTAGCAGGGCTAATCTAACCCCAAAGTAAAATCTACTCTAGATTCACCCTAACAAAGCCTAAAAACAGTACTTGACAGTATTAAACTGATCCGTAAATAATTTAACATGGCATCCAGAAAAAAAGTACAGTACTTTATAAAGGATAACAACAAAAGCTGACACTCAATCATGTAAAATTCCATAATGTCCTGCATCCCATAAAAAATTAATAACCTGTGAAAAGGGTAAGAAAATGTGACCCATATCCAGGAGAAAATGCATTCAATAAAAACAGATACAGAAATAATAGAGATCAGGAAATCAGCAGATAAGGACATTAAAACAGCACTATAAATAAGCCCAATATGTCCAATGATTTAAAGAAAAACATGTATTTAATGAGAAGAAAAATAGAAGATATAAAAAACTACCAAAGAGAACTTCTAGAGCAGAAGAATAAAAGATCTGAAATTAAAATTTCACTAAATGGGATAAACAGCAGATTAGATAATTAGAAAATTATGGAACTTATTATGGAACTTAAAAACTTAGCAGTATAAATTATCCAAAATGAAGAACAGAAAGAGAAAAAGGCCTAAACAATTTAAATAAGAATGTCTGGGTGACCAGTAGGGCAATATTAAGCACACAATATCAAGCAATTTGAATTTTAGAAGGAGATTCCCTAGTCAAAGGACCAGGAAAGAGAGAGCCTAGCAAGATAGAAACCTTTTAGAAAATAACTGCTCTGCTCTAGCCAAACACCATAGAAAAAAAATGTAGCCCCATCCCCACCCATGACACCAAAGATTGAGTGGAGAGACTAGACTAACCCTCACCAGGCTGTAATGAGGTTTTTCTTTCCCTCCCCACTGGTGTCAGAGGAAGCTTATTAGAGAGTTAAGATTTTCACTACCACTCAATGATAATGAGGCCACCCAACTGTGGTGTCAAAAAAAAGCCATATGGGAACATTAAAAAGGCCCACCTACACTTCCTAGCCAAGTGGTATCAGTGGAGGCCTAGTGGAGAGCTAGAACTCACATCCCTGCACAAAAGTAATGAAGCATACATTTCTCAGGAGTCCTTAGAAGCCAAGTGGGAAACCTGGACTTCTACCCACATTGGGCAGTAACAAAGTGGTATCCCCCGCTTTCCCCTTCCAGAGTAGTGTCAAAAAATC